CTTGAACTAGAGATCTTCCTGCCTCAGCTTCTGGAGGACCTGGGACTACAAGCATGCACCAGTGCACCTAGAAGAATCCAGGCTTCAGACCTTTTCAAACATGTGTTTCAAAACTCTACCCCATTTACCTAGTACTCAATTCCAAAGCCATTTTCACATTTTTAGGTGTATGTCAAAGAAGAATTCTACTTCTTGGTACTTAAACCTGAAGTTGTTTGGTACAGTTGCTGTAACAAAACACTGCAGAGTGGGTTGATTAAAGAACAAATATTTTCCCACAAGTTGGAACTCTGAGACCAAGTTATCAATATATTTGATTTCTTCTGAGGCCTCTCCTTGGCTAATAGACAGCTACTGTCATGATGATGTTCATGTGTTCATCTCTCTATGCTTGTAGCATATGTGATATCTGTCAGTCTTTGTTTTAATCTCCTCTCCTTATAAGGACAATGGTCAGACTGCATTAGGTCCCAAACTAATGACCTCATTAACTCTATTATCTCTTTAAAGGCCCTGTCCCCACCCTCCCAAACAAATACAGTTTTATTCTGAGGTACTCCTGGAAGACAGCACATCATCCCCAAAACTGGAGGTGGCAGATCCAGATGGAGGTGGCAGCTGCACTTCATGGCTTTTGGCCCTCCTGTCTTTAGACCTTAGGCTGAAGATCAACTGTTTTAGCACTGAAGACTGCATCTGGACCCACTCAAACTGAGGAGTTGGCTGGTCACAGTGTTATTGGAAACGGGAGGAAAGAGGACTCTTGTTATGAAGTAGCAAAGAAATAGGATGCTAGGGCATTCACTTATTAGTTTGGGGAGTAGGAAACATAATTCAGTCCATAAAGGTACAAAACCCCAAACTTACATATATTTGTCCATTACAGAAATTCGACTCTTTTCTTTTGAAGAACTTTAGTTAAGTACAATTCCAATGTTTACTGCTCACTTGTCATGTGGCATACAAAAGTGATACCTGAGTTGAGACCAATGGTACAAGAAAAGCTAACTAGAGGCACTGGGTTTCAACAAGATGTCCAAGAAAAGACTCCATGGAGCTGGGTGGGGCTCTGTGCCCACGGTAGAGGACCTACAAACACTTCTTTATTATGGTGGCTGACAGATACTGTGGCTACTGCCGGGAAGTAATGCTACAAGAGTAGGTTTATGGTATTTAAAAAAATAAAATTAAATCCCATGTAATACAAATTTTAACCCTAGGGAGGACCCTTAGAATCAGGAAAGCACAATCAAGTTGCCACATTTAGTTCAATAATTCTTCACATTATTAATAATTTCTGTAACTTACAGTAAAAATTATTTACTAATAGGTCATCAAAATAACAGTATTTTAAAAATGTAGTTTAAACATTATTCAGTGTAGGTACTTTGATGCCAACACCCTCTCAAAATAAATATTTTGAAAAACCTAGATTTTATTCTTTTTTGCTAAGCTTCTCTTTGAAGTTTGCTTTCTCTTCCACACATAGACACAAGTGAAAATGGCCATCAAGAGACAGAAGTGAAGGCTTTCAGAGAAAAGATCTATTCCTTAAATTGAAGGATACAGCTATAAAATTTCTCTGTGGGAAAAAAAGAAATCTGTCACCTTCATAGATCTGAATACTTTATAGACTTTCCAAATGTGTATAACTACCATACAATTCCAAATAGTTTTTCACTGTATGAAGAAAAGAAAATATACTACCAATGAAACTATAGAAAGCACTGTATTATATTTCTTAAAGCATTTTTTTTTGTTTCCTATAAAGGCTTTTAGATGAAATGGTACATAGTAACTTTTCATTAAAGATACATGCTCACGATCACTGAGACCTGAGGCTGAAACCTATGTTTCCAGAAATCTCCCTGAATGAAGAGACAACTACTAGGAAGATATTCTGAGGCATGCATCCTCCCTTGTCTGGATTACTTTGTATTGCACTGATCGTAGACACTTTATGTTAAGTATATTTATATTATGTGTTACTATCATATGAATTATAACTATCCAGAAGAATATTACAATTTTTTTTCCAGATTCTAGAAATATCACATTTAAGAGACATGAGCATGAAATCTGACTGAAACATCTCTCTAACCAGCGTAGCCTGGACTGTTGGCTTTTAATAAATAGTGAAAGTACAGTTCTGTTGAATACTTATATGATCCTTGTTATAAAGATATTTTTTGCTTTGAAATTACCTATTGTTTTTCCTTGATTTATTCCATAATGAAACTCTGAGGAGGGCATGTACAGTTTTCTCTACTTCCTCAACTTTGACATAACCAACTAATATGAAGTTTCTGCCTGAATAAGGCCTTTGACACACCTCCCACAATGACCATCTAATTGTAAAGTGCAGTAAGCCACAAAAAAAGGTTGTCCTCTTTGAACTGTGGTGCGGGGCTGATCTTTCCTATTGTCTTCCCCTTCAACTTGAAGGAATCTGCTTCTTACTAAATGTCTGATTTCTATTTTCTTCATATTTACTTTTTCAAACTCCTCTTTAAACAATATCAAAACATTAGCATTTCCTAGGATTTCAACTTTAACCTTCTGCACTTCTTTCTGTAAACCCACTCTCATATCATGGCATAAAGTATATTTCACAAACAGGTCCCAACTTATTTCCTTGTCCTTTTCTCCTCCCAGTATACCACATTGCCTGCTTTCTATCTTTATAATCCTCATCTCTTTCTGTTCTATTCCTTTTTTTTGGGGGGGGGGTTACTGGGAATTGAAATAAGGGGCACTTGACCATGGAGCCACGTCCCCACACCTATTTTGTATTTTATTTAGAGACAGAGCCTCACTGAGTTGCTTAGCACCTCGCTTTTGCTGAGGCTGGCTTTGAACTCACAATCCTCCTCTCTCAGCCTACCAAGATGCTGGGATGTGCTATTCCTTCTTTCAAAAAGATATTCAGTCATTTCTCCCTTGTAAGTCTACTATGTTTTTATTTCCAAAAAACTATTAAAATGTTACTTCACCTAAAAAGTCTTTTACTCTTCCACATGTAATCATTAATTAATCTCTATATTTCATTGTTTTTCAATGGCACTATGATATTTCTATTATAATTGATGAGTGGCACTTTATTTTTTTTTTAAATCATTTATCTACCTTAAATGAATTTTAAGTTCTTTCAAAGTATTGCATATTGGAATTAGTGTAGTATAAAATGAGAAGTACAGCATACAACTATAAACAGGATAAGGACTTTTGAACCTTCCTAGTATTTAACCTCATGTTGTTATCTTTGAAATGGGAATAAATATTAGAAAATAATGATTATTGTTATATAATTTTTAACATTATACCTGAAATATGTGAAGTACTTAACATATAGTGCTTAACACAAGGTATTTACTTATTCCAGTTCAGTAGTTATTTTCCTTCTAAAATAACCCAATATCTTATTTATCATATATCAATGTTTGTTTAATGAATGAATGAATGATAACAGAATGGAATTCCTCTATGCTTCTTTTATGACTTGTTAGAGGAATATAATATAAGCATTATTCTTACTTTCACAATAAATTATAGGGCAGAGGAAACCAAGACATATGCAAAATTTTCATAAAGCCACCAAAGGTAGATATTTGTAGAGACATAGGTACATAAAAATAAAAGGTATTCTCTAAACCCCAGTTATAATATAAGATGATATTTATGTTTAAATCCTGTGACTCTGATAATATTTGTTTAGGATGAAAAGTGTCTGATAATACTGTAGGCTTCTAAACCTTGAAAAATCGGTTGTTGTTCTGGTTCTGGACAGGAAATCATCCTGAGACTTAATTACAGGAAAGGGCAAAGGGACTTGAAATCTGTGTATTTTGCCCAAGAACAGTGCCACCATGGCAGGATAAATAAATACTGGGATTTACTGCAGTTATTACAGGCATTCTAAAAATAAAATAAGTCCTTGATCAGTTTTTGGCCAAGGACTACCCCAGATTTACTAACTCTGAAATATCCATGAATCAGTGTTCTCTCTATTCTTCCTTGCAGTTGCATTCCTGGTTCAATCCCTCATCATTTTTCATTTGAATTGTTGCCAGCCAAACCTTTTGGTGTGGGGTCCCTGCAGCCATCCCCAGGGCTTTCCTCTACCTCTATAGGTACCACCTTCAAATCCATACTCCTACAGCTCAAGCTTTGGCCTCAAATCTCTGGCAACTCATTATAAACAAAGTAATAAAGTTTAGATAATGAAATACCTAAATTTTAATACATTTGAGCTGTAAATTCATTACTAGTTACACTACTGCTACCACCATACAACCTTTATTGCAAGCCAACAATAGCTGCTGATTATGATATTGGGTGTCAAGGCGGATGCTAAATACGATCCATCTCTAGAGCTCAAATGCACATAGCAAAAATAACTTCCACTATGATCAACCCAGAAGTGATCCTTGAAACTTCTCAGAGGAAACAGGAGATTATTTTTCACAGATATTCAAAACACCTCAAATGGGATGAAGACAGAATGATTCAAACTATGAATTAATCACATCTTTGGAAATATGTTGATATGCATCTCGTTTCTCTGTTATGAAGTTTTACTAAGACATTTTTCAGTAAAATTTTAGGAAATCATATTGTACTATTCCATCATTCCTTGAAAAGGAAAAATTAGATACTAATTAAAAATCATCATTCCAAATATGCTATACAGTAATAGTCTTAGAACACCTGTTTCTGTACTTCTGTAATTAAAAACTACTATTCTAGATCACGTATTTTTACTAGACAGTTCCACTAGCATTTCTACTTCTCTCTCTGATATATTTCTAGACACTCTAGCAGTCTGTGGTGCACATACTTATCAGTGAGCGAAGCAAAGGGTAAGTGTGTTTGACACAGATGAGCCCCGAGATTAAGTACACACTGTGAAATGCATGTGGATGTTCATGATTTAAACCAATGAACTGTGGCCTGAAATGATGTCACACGAAGCGCAGCAGGAAGTGGAAGGTTAAACCTACTTGCATCTCGGCTCATTAAACGCAGTTAAAGTGCAAATCCCCTCATTCTGACAGTAGTGATCACAAGGGTTCTCTTTCTGGTCACAGCGCTGACTTTTAAACCCCACAGAGCATCTGTAGAATTTCAGTAAAATACAGCTAAATAAGGCGTCTGACTTTTTTTTTTCTTTTTTCTTTTTTTTTTTTTGCCAAATATGTGTCAAATTTATTTTATACAAAAAGAGTAACATCTGAACAACAATGTTCCCAGGAATGCTTACTTGTATCACATACACACTCATCACATGCTACCCTGACACAGTGAGAAACAGGATGTGGACGTAGATCATATGTGGACATCACCTTTCTGATCAAAAAGTGTTCATTAAGCACAGCTCTATACAGTGACCACTTAAGCTGGATGATTTTATTTCAATTTGTTAATTCTGGACAATTAGATACTTTGAAGGGGGAGAATACGAAATTCCAGATTTTCTTGTGGACATCAATAACTCTCAATACTTTCCTATGTATTTAGAAACCCCAGACTCGATATGATATATTGGGAAGGAACCAGGGGCTTCATAGGTTTACATAATGCTATACTGTCTAAGCTTTATACAAACATCAAATAGCATTATACATTTGAAAAGATATCTCAAGTTCTTTTGAAAAGAATGTGCACAAGTACCAAGGGATTCATAAAAGATGATTGTCTCTAGGTTTCACATAGTCAAATAAGGTCAATAAAATTGGAACAGTTTTCCCCGACATTTCTAAGTTCAAAGGTCTGTGAATGTCTGAAATGGCATGATGCTAAGAATTGAATGAGCTCTTCCTCATGAAATAATTAGCAAATTGATGAAGGAGATTCTGTAGCACATGAGTCAATGAGGGACAATACTTGAGATGTACATGAAACACTCATTTAAAATGTATCACCCTGAGAAAGGAGAAAAATACAATAGGAATTCCATGTACATACAAAATCTATCATAAATTACCCATGACATTATAAAATACTCACAGACACACAGGTACATTTGTCTCGGAGTCCAGCTGGCAAGTGCCACCATTATAACAGTAGCCATCACATAACTGACAGCTAGAGGCAATCTTTCCATTAGTGCAGCTGTAGCAACAAAGAAAAAAAAACAATCCCATTGTTACTGGCATTATTATTGTTGAAAGCTGACACAAAATCTCTGCAGATGAGAATATTCTTCATCTGGGAATAATGGGGTGGCTGGCTAAAAGTAAGTTTTCAGGAAGATAGATTTGCTGGAAGCCAAGTTTTTTTTTTAAATAGAAATGATAATTAATAATATTTTTCTTTTGATAATTTCCATATTTTCAATTCATTCAATTACTATAAAATTTAATACAGCTAGTTATATCTGTGGAAACACACTCTAATCACACATCAGGGAGACACTAGCACCAATATCTTTTTTCCTTTTTCACACAATGAGAATATGGTGACATCTGTGTATTATAATCCACATGATCAAATACTTTGGAGCAAATGCTTCAGCCTCTTTCTTCTAAACTAGAGCATTTGGTCCAATAATGTTAGGAATTTTAGATACCCCCAACTTGCAAGAAAATAAAGGCTATTCTATCCTCACTTTTATCCTACCATTTTCCTTGGAATATACATTGTAATTAATGTCACTGACTAAATTCTTTTCATTCTAACAGATAAATGGAGCAGTTCACTGAAAATATAAACAGTAATGTTATAAAAGCAATGTGCAATATTGTAGGAAAGTAACGAATCAGGCTTTCTTGAAACATTTACCAAAATGATTCTAATTCATAATCATGTGTTTGGGATAACAATAAATACTATGTTATTATAGTGGAAAAAATTAGCTTAACAATAATAGAAAAAAATATTAAAATATCTTTCTGCCAAGTCATATTTTTAAACAAAATTTTGGCTTCGACAGTGAAAAGAGCAACAACATTCCTAATTACCAAAGATCCTACTCTAACTCATGGCAAGTAATTGTAACTGAATCATATACACCTTGGCTCAAACTGGAATTGGAGAGATTGTACTGATAATTCTCACCGTGTGATCCTACTAAATCTGAATTGCCAGTGGAACATGGTATCACAATAAAATCTGGATATTACCTTAAAAAACAGGATATAATATCATTGACTGATCACTCTAATCCTCTGCAGGATGAATGTCTGTTGCACTACATCCATTATAAGGTAATCCCCCAAAATCAATAAAATGCCTTAAAAAATAGTTGGCAATTCTGGTCTTCATTTATTCTGTCCATATGCATTTAAACTTATGTGACTTGTATGATTTCCAGAAATGTATTGAGCTACTTATAACATTTGCAGGTGTTTAATTTGAAGTTATTTCTGAAGAACCTGGGTTTAAGAACCACAATTCTTTTCACCATGAACAGGACAGGCTAAGTTAATTATGTGTGAGATGTGAAGCCATCATGGGGAAGAGGAGGGCAGTCTAACATTTCTCAGACAAAACAGAAAATATACACTTTTCAAAACTTACAATAACATCCTAATATGGATGCAAAGTGAATCAATTACACTGTCAGTGGTATTGGTGTCTGAAATATTAAATGAGTTTGAGGGGCTTTTCCTCAACTTGTATGCCCAACCTCCTTAATAATCAACAGAGAAAAAAGTTGTATTTTCTTGTTCTATCAAAGAGACATTGTCAAAGAAGAAAAGCAGATCATTAAGGGTTTTCTACTCAAAAAGATAACTTTATACCAAAATTCATAATCAAAAATAATAATGATAATAATAACTGATTTTAAATTTCCCCTTACAATAGTTTGAAAAATGTTGTCTAATTTTCCTTCTAAATAATTCACTTGAATTCAAAATTAAAGAGAAAAGTGTGTGGATAGTTTTAATGTAAAAACAAAAGTTATTAAAATCATTATAATGCCTCAAAATTACAGTGTATATGTCAGTTTTCAAAATAATTTTCCTTTGGAGGCATATACAATACACACAAATATGCACACACGTGTTAAGCTTGTGATATATTACTTTCCAAAATTTAATTACAAGTTATCCAGTACACAAAATGAAATTTCATATGACAGTAGACATCAAACAGGTATTATTTAGAATAATCAAGATTATTATCGAGATTTTTTCCAATATTTACTTCTATTTCCAGAAAAAAAATATATTAGCTGTGTTTTAAACATTGTACTGATAGAGTACCTGTCCTAATTCATGGTCTCTGCATTAGAAACACAAGTGCCTATTTATAATCACAACTGCACATGTGGCTTGAATTTTCCTACTTAAGGAAAGCAGAACATTTTGCTAGAATTTTGTTTTAGTATCTGTTTTTGACCTATGAAACAAAAATTCATGTAAATTTCATTTTAATGCTAAGATGAAAGATGTCAGATAAATAAAAACAAACTTTAGTCATCTAACATACTTTCTTTTTTTAGAGACAGAGGAGAGAGAGAGAGAGAGAATTTTTTAATATTTATTTTTCAGTTTTCAGTGGATACAACATCTTTATTTTATTTTTATGTGGTACTGAGGATCGAACCCAGAGCCCTGTGCATGCCAGGCGAGCATGTCACCGCTTGAGCCATATCCCCAGCCCCAAGTCATCTAACATACTTTCGTATACACAAAGTATTCTGTTTGAATTTCATGCTCAAATATTATGTAGACTCTGATAAATTAAGTGCTATAGTACTTCTATTTTTAAAGCTCCACTATTTATTCACTGTTGGCAACATTTCCAAAAAGATCTTTTAAAAGATGAGAACTATAATGTTAGGCCTCAATAGCCTGCTAGGGTTGTGAGGATCTCATGTTTCCAGTTTGGAGAAGCCAGTTTCTCATCAATGGGTCCCAAGTCCTGCCCTTCCTAACTTTTATGAAATTTCTTTACAATGGACACAAGGTGTTTATCTCTGAATGAGCTTTTCTAAGGCAACTTGCACATGAATTTTTTGTTTAAAGCCATGATTCCACGCGTAAGTGAACAGAATTTTAAAGAAGGTACTACAGCTCATTTGGATAAGGTACACTGGACATGAAGAAAAAGTACTCCTACTATTTGAAATTAAGTCTCATCCCACTTAAGTTTTCTCACAAACAAATGATGAGCTTAATAAACAATCACCATTTGGGTAGTTTATATGAAAGCATGTTTTGCTTTTATGTAATTATTAAAGACATGCATTTATATATAAGTCATATTTTCAATTACTTAAAAAATAATGTACTTTCAAATGACCCAATTTCCTGTTTTGAGTAAATGTTATTCATAAATAAAACACAAATCATATTTAGATTAAATTCTAAAAAGAGAGTAAGTAAAAATAAAAAAGAAAGAAAACGTTGGTTCTGTCTGTAATAAAATTTTATTGGGCCTTGTTTGGGAGAGCAACATAACTCATGTGGCACCCTCCTCAAGTTCCCAGTGGAATCTGTGCATGGACTCTTTATAGCATGCTATCTATCTCATATTCTCATTTATTTTACTCCTAAGCAAGGCAAGTGACAGAATCCAGTACTTTATAAGCCCTTCTTTTAAAAGGCTGTTAAAAGTAGTTTGGAGTGAGGATTGATCTCTAACCTCTGCAGCATAAACTTGTTTCATGATAGAAACAGAATGGCATTACCCTTTAGCCACTATGTTCTGTTTTCCATTCAGTTAATCTCAAAGCCAAAGGTCAAAAGGCAATGTAAGAGAAGTCAAACTTGGACATTTTGTTGTAGTTGCTTCCAGGAACACATTATTCCCTCTATTTATTTTGGACCATAATGTTCAAAGGCAGATTGAGAAAAAAAAAAAAAAAGGGGTAATGCTTATTTTCATTATACAGGTATTTGGCTTCTCTCCCAAAGATTGATTTATATCAGTAGAAATGCTAACTCACTCACTAAGTTAATAATGATGAAAGAATTAAAAGCCTGAACTATATGAATTGAACAATTTTACACATAAATTTGTGAAAATATGTTGCATTTCACTATTTTTTTTACTTACTCTTAGGAATATTGTTAAATGATAGATTTTCATGTTCTTCAGATGCTTATAGCAGGTTTGGAGTAAATTTGTATTTAATTGAAATGACTTCATCTTTAGACAAATATAAAATACAATGATTGCCATATATAGATTTTGAGAACAAAAGTAATACACATGGTTTTCATACTCTATTGCAGATTAACTTGCATATCCACTTACTTGCAAAATATATCTTCATTGTCTTTATTTATAATGCAGTGTCCCCCATGGCATCTTACACACTTGTCAACCTCACATTTTGGTCCCTCGTAGCGTGGTGGACAGACACACTCAACACTTCCATCATCCCCGATAGTACATGATTCAGAATGCACACAATAGTGATGACACACATCTAGGAAAAAGTATAACCAAACAACCAAATTATGTTAAAAGACATTTTTCTTCAGTCATGGAAGAAATGTTACTATTTCATTTCATATTTTAAAAGTGGTCGATAAATAGGTAAAATAATTTATACAAGCAACTCATAATAATATGCAACTAGTCTTCTCTAATAATGCTATTGATTCATCTTTTGTCCAAGTTAGGCATCATGCAATCTGACTAAAAGGAGAGGGTTATCTTGATAAATTATTAGGTGACAAACTCAGTTCTGAATAATAAAACTTAAAAGAGAGTTGCTTAATTTTTCTTTCAGTGAACACTATAACTAAAGTACGAAATGAGCTGAAATGCTCAAGGTCTCCTTACATGTCATTTATGTTTGCCCCCTCCAACTTCTTTTAATCCAGAGAACAGAGTAGCATATGGTGAATGGAAGACTCTACCCTTGCTCCTTGCCCTAGTGCTGGGGTAAGAAGCCTCTCTTTATAGGTACCAAAATTCATGCATTTTCCAAAAGCTTGGGCAAACCAAGCCTCTCCAAAAATTCAAAGAGAACTAGAAACTAGCTGATCCAACAAGGGTGGGAAGTGTTAGTAGACATCTATGCTATTGGCCCCCTGAAAGGTGATATAGTTAATCTACCCATCAGCTAGAGGGAAACTGCCCTGTAATCTAAGCCCCTTGTTTAAAAGATGTTTCTGACTGGGCATTGCAGATCAACTTTCTTCTTTCAATGATAAAGGACTACTTTCCCCAAACATTTCTATATCTGGAAAATATGCATAATGTAGCAAAAGACATTCAATAATTTAACAGCAATTCTAACTTTAAATTAGTCTTCTGAAAAGCAGACAAGTCTGTATACTAGTTATAATAAATATAACACCAAATTTAAAACATCAAAATTTATAATACAAATAATTTTAGCAAAAAAACTGATTAACTTGATCCTAGACATTGTGCTTAGAAGCAGCAATCTCCCTTTAGGTATATAACTGTGAAGCAATATTAAATGAGATTAGCTAAGATAAAAATCTCAATTTGGAAACTTTAACCTGATGTTTGACAATTATGGTTGGTGTAGAAAATTAAAACATCATTTATGATTCTCATGTTTCTATGTTTATCTAGTTCTTTATTAAATCAGACAGATATTACACTTATTGACAGCCTTGCTTCATATTTATGGAAATTTATTTCAAGCATTTTTATTCTTGCTCTTATATTATGCCAAACACCCTCATTTAGATTCAATATTTAAGCCTATTAATAAAGGTTTCGACTGTATATAAGGAAAGTAGCGCTTTCAAAACGTTATAGACTTGGAGGTCCAAAAATTAAGTCAGTGTTTGTCTCTGTGCATTTTTTTGGGTGGGTTTGTAGTTGTTCTAGCTTGGCAGATATAGGCTATACCAAATAAATTGTATTGTTTTAATGAAGAGTAATTTCACAGAGGTCTATGTGATCATCTACTACAGACTGTCATTCAGTGCAAAATAATCTCTGAAGAACAATCTTCATTAGGTAGGTTGCTAGACACTTCTTAATGACAAAGATCTCTTTTAATGTGTAATCTCTTTAAAATTTCACCTATTGTTCTTGGTTCAGCTGTCTGATAGAACAAATGTCTTAATGCATCTTTCCAATATAATTTCATTCTGTCATCTTCAAAGTTTGATGTGGTGGATAATTAGAACAATATAGGGGTTTTATCTGCAGATGCTACAAAATTTCAATACCTTTCCTGCTGTCCATTTCTAGATTATCATTCATAGGCCTCCATGATTCCCTTGACACTCATTAAGGAACTAGAATTCAGGAAGTTGGGAAAGAAAGAAATGATGATCTGGAGAGAATGTTCTAGTTTGCCACAGTTCTATTATAAATGAATTTGATTAAATCTAACTAGCTTATTTCTTGGCTAAAGCTGATAATCATACCAAAATATAAACTTTTAATCTGAAATTTTTGAAAATCTTTTACTTTTATGATTATATTTCTGAGAAAACTTGAGAATGTAGAAAAAAAATGAGTTAACATTCTGAAGGCTAATGACTGCCCAGTAGCATACCACAAAACTAAACAGTTTACACTTAAGCTAGAATGCTCAAGAACAAAGTTAAAAACTTACCTACAATATGCAAAATACAAGTAATTTTTATGCACAAATTAAATGTCTTTTATGAAGCTTTAAAAGATGTGAGAATGTACACTATCCATAAGTGATCAAGGAAAAACAAATTAACACTAGAATGGAATACTATCCACACCCAGCAAATGGACAATAAAGCAATAGCACAAACATTCCTCCACTATTAGTAGCAATGAATACTGGTTCAACAAATTGGGAAAAGAGTGGGAAGCATTTGCTGAACTTGAATATACCCACACCTAATAGCTTAGCACTACCACTCTTCACATATGCCTAAAAGAGAAGCATACTTGAATGTATAGGAAACATATTGAATATGCTGAGCACACATTTTAGAAATTATACAACAAGAAAAATGAATGGCCTTTGATACACTCATACCATGAAATGTACTTATACACACAAACACAATGAAACATTATCTCTCTATACAACAATATGGGGAAATCTCCCCAAAACACTATTGAGAGAACAAAGCTAGAAACATAAAATACATACCATTTTTTTTTACTTACATGAAATACAAAAGGCAAAACTTTTACTTACATTAAGTACAAAAGGCAAAATATATCAATGGTTTGTGAAATCATCCAATTATTTTGGGAGAAGTAAGAAGAACATTGGGGAGGATTTAGGGTGCTGAGAATGATTTTTCTTGACCTTAATGTTGGTTTACATCAATGTGTTACCTAATGATAATTTATTATATGGTATCCTTGTGGTTTTCTGATCTTTGGCATATGCTTCAATGGAACTTGTTTTTTCAACTTAAATGAAAATTAATTACATTAGCATGTTTTTGCAGTTCTAGTTTATTTTGCTAATTAGTCTAAGTAGTTTTTCTCTTTATACTCATTATTTTTAAAAATTCATGGCCCACTTTTTATATTTAAAGGAAATCTCCCACCCTTATTGCTATATTTTTTCCTCAGCATATCAGATGCATATTATTTTTCAAGGCATAAAAATGAAATCCAAAGAGCAGAAAGAAGTGTTTGTATATGATAAAATAGTGGAATAAGGTGATATTAGAATTACACTTCAATGAAGTGTAGTGTAAATTATAAATTTCATGTTGTTATGTCAAGCAACATTCTCCTTCTAAAAAGGCAGAAATCATTTTGAGAGCTGAACCTTTCTCTAGATATATTGAAATTGGAAGACATTTCATTTTTTTTTTTTTTTAAAGAGAGAGTGAGAGAGGAGAGAGAGAGAGAGAATTTTTTAATATTTATTTTTTAGTTCTCGGCAGACACAACATCTTTGTTGGTATGTGGTGCTGAGGCATGTGCTGCACGCATGCCAGGCGAGCGCGCTACCACTTGAGCCACATCCCCAGCCCAGACATTTCATTTTTTCCCCCCAGTTCCATGCTTAACAATCTATGCTGAGTTGAATTTCAGGAGCAGAGTTGCTTATTGTACTCCAGCCCTGGTAAATATGCTCACCAGAGCCTACCTGTGAAAATCTATCTCCTGCTACTTTGCTTAAGATTTGAAGCACCTGGAAACTGCTGAGCTATATATTTTGCTGTATTGCTTTCTGCACCTGTTTGGTTTCTAGAGTTAAATCTTCAATTACATATTACTGACCTTGCCTCTTCCCCATTTTCCTTCTTTCCTCCTTCCCTTCCTCCTCCTTTCCAATTTTATTTTATTTTTGTCTCAAATCCTTTACACTTACTTTCAACTCCAAGACTAATGAACACAGGAGAAAGCAGATCTTACTTAATAAGGAAATTTAGTGATTGGTATTTAGGCTACCAAACAAGTATCAGATACTTGTAAACTAGAAAGCAAAGTATTCTCTGCTTTTAAAAGCATTACCATGACACATGCTACATGTAAGTCTAGGAAAGAATCAGAAGGATCTGATGGTGGTATTTTAAAATTGTGCAGTTCAACCAAAATCTAGCTTCTGTTCCAACTGTCTCAATATCATGACTGCAATGCTTAATCAATTATTGGAATACCACCTTAATATCTCCCTCCTCAGTCATAATTTACTTTGAATTACAAGCATCTCCTTAAAATTATATAAATATCTGCTGTATTCTCATCAGTGTCACCTGTCTGCAAATCTCAAATAATTACTACACATTCATATTTAAATTCTAGGAATCACTTTAGATTTTATCTAATTAAAGGAATACTTTATTAGCACTTTCCAATCCAGCATAAATTTGTTTACTAATTTAGCTAAATATGAATAATAGCATATGAGAAGGCTTCTTTGGTTTGAAATTATTCATGTTGATTCTTAGGATTGTGCTACTAACCAAGTAAAGTCTGAAGTAACATAGTAGCTTGGGGTTTCCTGAGGAACACTTTCCATGTCCCAATACACTAGAAAATAATTATTCCATGAAGGTTACCAAGTTAAGCACCCAAAATGCTTTAAAACCATTTTAAATGTAATCATTCTAAAAGATATGATCACAGTTTCATATGCAAAATATGTATTTATTTTATTAAGGATTCATTTATTATTAGAAGTATCAATTGTTCCTAGGAATTTACCTTTGCACAATTTTATAGCATACTGATTCTTTTTCATATTTATTATTCTTAAGTGAAATGCTGCTGAATAGGAAACAGTAGATGCAACTAAATAAAAACAATGAATTCTTTTAAAAAATGGAAAATGATCGGGGTTAGATATGTTGGTGGTTGCTTAGTATCAAGGTTTGTGGCAAAGGTGTTGCCTTTTATTTACTGGCATTATGTGCACATGCACACGCACACACACACACACACACACAAACACACACATACAAAACCACACCCTCCTCTTTCACACAAAAAAACATTGCTTTTCAAATTTTTAATATAGTTTAGTAATTATTTTCATTACAA